GTCTGTCTGTCTTCCATTCCTTTTCTCTGAAAAGCATTGGCTGGAGGCTGTTTGGTGCTCTGTTAGCACAGAAAGGTTTTGGAATGATGCCATTTACTCAAATGTACCCCGTGCATTTGACAGGGATGGGAGTGTGGAAATTTTTGTCTGGTCATGTCATGTTTTAATTGGCGACCCTCAAATTTTTGCTGCTCCTCATTGTGTGTAATGAAACTTTGACACTGTGCTGGGTTCTGTCTCTCAGTGCTGCTTCCTCCCCAAGGGGAGATGCTGTTCTCCTCTGGACTGGAAAGCCTCAAGTTTTTTTCCTTTCTTTTGTTTCAAAATCCATTGCAAAGGAACCTGCTTGACCTGCAACTTTTATGCATGTGCAGTTGTCTCCTCAGTGGAGCCATGAAGCATGCTTGCCATGGTTTCCAGCTTGGCAGTCTCATGTTTGAAAGGGGGCTGTTCTTTTGTACCCACTCCACAGCCTGAAACCTTTTTGTTACGTTGGAAAGAAGGGGTTTGACATAGATGCCAAGTCATAGGATATTGCCTGGAGTGGCGGGGAGACATTGGTTTATTAGCAGGATTTTAAAGGGTTCCTAATAACTCATCTGTCCTACAAGCACTTTAGCTTGTGAATAACTTTACACACAGGAGGAATGGGGCTACTCGTGTGTAAAGTTACTCATGTTATTAAGTGCGTGCAGGATCAAGCCTTACTTTTAAAGCAAAACTAAGATTATCTCAAAATCTGTCCTGACTCAAGGCCGTGCATTGGTAAAGGCTGTCTTTGGAGTTGGTTTGTTTGGAGACCTTAAATGAAGTCTGACGTTGCAAGGCCTCACCTCAAACTGACTGCAAGTGAAGGCGAGGTGGAAAGGCCATAATGATGTATTTAATGGATGTGTACTCCAGTAGGGCAAGTGTAAATAAAACCAAATCCCCTGTTACAAGCCATGTGAGTCAGAGGAGTGTACGCCAGTAACTGAAAATTCTGGGCAAGAAGCAAGTTTTAAATTTTCTATGACAGGAAACAAGGGTATGTCTTGGTGAGAAACTATAGCTCGTCCTCTCCCCCTGTGCCCCTAAGCAGGGCAGTAATCCTTACACTGGCTTTTTCATAAAATGTAGTTTTATAAGTACAGGGCGGGATGGGGGAATGGATTGTAAGAGGCTAGTTCATGAGAGAGAAAACTGGGGCAAGAAAGGTGTTAAACAAGAAAGACAGTTGAAACTTTATTTGGCAGGGATGTCATGTTACACAGTGTTTGTGTGTGGTTCTTCTGAAATGGGATCTTTCTGCTTCTGCTTGTTTGCCTATCTGGGCCAATTGGTTTCTGTTGTGCCTTTTTCCTTGGGGGAAGCCAAGAGAAAGGACCATTTGGAGTCAGGAGACCTTGTAGGAAATGTTGCCTTCCCTAAGATGGGTGGAAATTCAGGTGCCGAAGTTTAATTTAATCTAGTGTTATCTAGTCTTATGCAACACGGTGATGCAGAAGTGGAGGTGAAGGGCTTCTGAAAGAACCAGGACTCAAGATAATAACTGCAGTCGCATTTGGGTAACATGACGTGGCTGCAGGTTAGAGAGGCAGAAGTTCAGATAGAACCTTTGGCAGAACCTAGTCCTGCTAAACCTAATGAAAAGACTCCCATTGATTCCAGTTAAATGGACTCAGGCCCTGAACTCACTGTGCGAGTGTGCACTGTGTCTGTCTGCTAAGGGGAAAATCTGGCCCTCCCACCTTGCAAAAATGGCAGCAGAGCCAGTGTGGTTCTGCTGTGTATGGCAGGGTACATGGAGCCTATGCAGGCTTACACCAACAAATATTGGATGACATCTATCAAAAAAACAAGCATCAGGAGCAAAAATGTTTTCTGTAGTATCACAAATTAATACTGTGCTTAACAGGGTAAGATGCATTCTCTGCTCTGAAGAACTTATAGCCTGTAAGCTTTATACATGGGGATTCCTCATTGATTTTAACGGGACGTTGTCCATTTGGAGGGCTTGCAGGATCAGGCTCTAACATAGACTAGAGAAACACAAGACAAGACATGCTTTTAAGTATATGTTTCAGCTCAGCTATGACATTAAGGCAGCAATCCTCTAAAATTGCCAGCGAAATTGTTGGCAGTCACAATCAAATTACATTAAACATGTTGACTTCAGTGTAATTGGATTATCTCAGTGCATGGTTAAAGCAAGATTTTTGAAAAAATGTCTGATTACACAGGTCTACAATTTTTGAGAAGTCATCTGCTTCAGAGATAAAATGTGCTATTTATTATGTATTTTGATGTGCTGAATTCAAATAGGACAATTAAAACAACTGATTGGCTACTGTTTCTAAGATATTTAAGTTTTTACATTTTATGTCTATGTATATTGTGTAGATAGTAGAGTTTTAATCATAAATTGTAAACCTAGGTCTTTTCATGTGTTTATGGTTGCTTTACATGATAATATTTCACCTGTCCTGTTTATGTAACACTTTAAAAATCAGCAAAAGGGTTATATAAATC